TGGATTCTAAACCATTTAATGTAAAGTTGGTGAGAAACTGAGTATTCGCAGGCTGCCAAAGCATCAAGCTGCAGATAATTTGTTACTGAAGGGAAAGGCAGTGGGTGGGTAGGGGGATGCCATTGTATAACTGAAGGATCAGACTGTCACCAACTTACTGAACCATTTAAAGACAGTCAAACATTAGGCGTTATTAATATCACAATCTATGAAGTATTTTTTGCCATTAATATTTTACCTGAACATAATTAAGCCTTTAGACCTAACTCCAAGTATATAACAAATACAGGAAATAAAAAACAAATAATATGAAAAAGCAATTATATAAATCCAAAAGATAGGGTCTTCTAGGGAATGGTCTCATCAATAAGTCAATGACATTAAAATATGGAGAGGGTGGGAAACTATTCTAAATTAAAAGAGACGAAGAATCTTGGCAATCAAATACAACATGTGGTCCTTGGTTAGACCATCATTTGAACAGACCAGCCGTAAAACGCATTTTGGGGACAATCTGCAAAATATGAATACAGTCTAGGTTTATTATACGAAAGTAATCTAGTTAGGTATGAAATTGATCCAGGCAGATCACCTGAGGTCGGGAGTTCGAGACCAGCCTGACCAACATGGAGAAACCCCATCTCTACTAAAAACAGAAAATTAGCCAGGCATGGTGGTGTATGCCTGTAATCCCAGCTACTTGGGAGGCTGAGGCAGGACAATTGCTTGAACCCAGGAGGCAGAGGTTGCAGTGAGCCGAGATCAAACCATTGCACTCCAGCCTAGACAACAAGAGCAAAATTCTGTCTCAAAAAAAAAAAGGAAAATGTCCTTCCTTTCACAAACTGTGAACTATAGTATTTAGGAAGAAGCTTTCATGATTATTTGTAACCTAAATCAATATTTTTAATATAGCAATATGTTAATAAACAATTCTAGGTGATGGGGTTGTAAGAATTCGTTATACTACTCACTCTTTTCTACATTTGAAAATGTTCATGATAAAATGAATAAGAGAGAAACAAAATGTAAAGTTAAATTAGATCACATCACTCTACCCTATTCAAAAGCCTCCACTGGCTTCACTCAGCATCAAAATCAAAGACTTTGCACTGGCTCTGTGATCTCATCCCCGGCATCTCTAACCTCATTTTCTAGTGCTCTGTTCAATCACTCTGATCCATCCACACTGACCTCCTTACTGTTCTTCAACACATAAGGCATGCTCACACCTTAGGGTCATTGCATTGACTGTTTCCTTGGCCTAGAGGCTCTTCCTCAGACATCTACACAGTTTACATCCTCATATCCTTCATGTCTTTGCTTAAATCTCACCTTTTCAATGAGTATACACTATTCTAGTTAAAATTGCAACCCACCACTCCTGATATTACCTTGCTCTGTATTTTTCCCCATCTCATTGATCATTTTCTAGCATAATATATAATTTACTCAGAATCTAAACACCAAAAAAAAATGTATTTACAGATGTAGCCTTTGCACCTAGTACAGTACCTTGCACAAATATAGATGCTCAATCTATATTTAAATTAATGAATTTGGATATGGATAATAGGGCTGATCCATGGTACTACAATTACTACTATATAGTATTGTGTTTTGAATCCAGAAATCAAATGGCAATATGGTTGAGAGCTATCACCTCCTCCTCCTTTCCTGTAACAAGAACTCCAGACAAGTTTGTCTTCTGGTACCTTCACACTTTCTTGTAGTCCCTTCCTGTCCTTTGTGCTGTCTCTCATGCTGTCCCCAAATTCTCTATTGTACAAGTTGAGTATCCCTTATCTAAAATGCCTGGGACCAGAAGTATTTTAGATTTTGGATTTTTTTTTTTTTTAAGATTTTGGAATATTTGCATACTGGCTGACCATCCCAAATCTGAAAACCCAAAATCCAAAAGGCTCCAATCATCTCCTTTGAACATCATTCAGTGCCCAAAATGTTTTGGATTTTGGAGGTTTTTTGGATTTGTGATGTTCAACCTGTGACTGTCGTTCATACCATAGTATAATACTAGCATTCAGGTGAAAAAAGAAGCCTGTTAATCCAAATAAGATCCAGCTGGTCAAAAAGTTGGGGAAAGGAGATGTGAACATTTTCAGGTAGTGATGAGGAAGGGGGATGGTGGAATTAGGCCAGGGACTAATACACAGACTGACCATACATGCCTGGGAGCCAACTCCCAAGGTTACATCACCTAAGCAGTTCCTGATTTTCATAGCTTTCCTTACTTTACCTTTAAGGCCACAATTTTTCAAAAATATCTGACATTTCTTCCCCTACCCTCAGTGACTTTAAGACTGCTGATTCCCACAATGACAAGACAGTTCTGACAATATGAACAAAGGGATGGTATTACACAGAGCATTATGAGGGTTAGTCATTCCAAGAACAAGTTATTTCTAAATTAAGTATTTCTTGACTATCTCTTATATAAGAAAAATGGTTGCTGTCTACAAAAATAATGGATTATTCAAATACTATCAACCCCCAGGTATATTTTAATTCTCAAAAAAGTTACATTATTTATAAGGAATGTTTTCATACAAAAAGATTTTTAATTCCAAAACTCACATTCAACTAACTGGATGTTACACAGCAGGTCATCATTATTCACTGTCATATGCTCTCAAACCTACAGTCTCCAAAGCCCTAATTTATATTTTAATTAATCATGCACAAGTTAAATTTCAGCCAACCTGTCACTTAAGCAGTTGGCTTCATGTACTCAAACCCAAAGTAATCATGGTGGCTCTTAAAATCTGATGAAATGCTTGAATCTCTTTTTCCAATATGAAGAGTGGACTTTCTGGGTGCTGGTAAGAAAAGAAAAAGCTGCCATTGCTCCTTTTTTTTTTTTTTTTTTTTTTTTTTTGAATGGTTTTTTTTTTTTTTTTTTTTTTTGAGACAGTGTTTCGCTTTTGTTGCCCGGGCTGGAGTACAGTGGCACGCTATCAGCTCGCTGTGACCTCCGCCTCCAGGGTTCAAGTGATTCTCCTTCCTCAGCCTCCCGAGTAGCTGGGATTACAGGTGTCCGCCACCATGTCGTCCAGCTAATTTTTTGTGTGTTTTTAGTAGAGATGCGGTTTCGCCATGTTGGCCAGGCTGGTCTCAAACTCCTGACCTCAGGTGATCCACCCACCTTAGCCTCCCAAAGTGCTGGGATTATAGGCATGAGCCACCGAGCCCAGCCGCCACTGCTCATTTTTAAATGAAGGTATTGTGCTCCTGCCCTAAAACCCTACCATGTCTCTTGTTTGGCCTTGAAAAGCAATATGCTTTTAAGCTCTGGTCTGCTTTCTCTTCTGTCTGCTGGAGCATCCCAGATCACAGAAAACAAAAGATGAGCAAAGGCAGTCAGTATTATATAATTTAAGAATACTAAAAGGAATTCTCTTATTATCCTGACCTCACATTCCAAGAGTACAGAAACAGACACTCCTCTACACCAAAGTAACCTCAGTGCCTAGCAAAGAGCATAATCATAAACATTCAATGAATGCTTTCTGACTGACTATCCCAGGCAAGTAAACAAATTAGCAAAGCTATATCAAAAGGTAAATGGAGGCCTTGTTAAAATTCTCCGTGCTATCAAGAGAATTATCTTCCTAAAACATAAATCACTCATTTACAATTAGTGAACATTTACTATAGGCTAGCCAGTAAACTAATCCATAGGAATTAGTAACATAGAACCTGCCTCATATGGATTACAATCTGGAAAAGGAGATAGATACAGTTTATTCTAAGACAATCTGAGGGGTGTTAGAAGTTATGGGTCAAGTTTTATGAGAACACTGATTAAGAAGTGACTACTTCTGCATGGGTAAAGAGTCAGCTAAGACTTTACAGAGCAAGTAGCATTTGCTCTTAAAGAATAAATAGGAGTTCACAAGATGAAAAAAGGAGAAGTGAGAAGGTTGGGTAAGAATAGTTTTTTAGTTATAAGGAACAAAGATTCACAGCAATATCAACACCTAAGTTCAGGAAATGGCTAGTCACGTAATATGACTAGAATATAAGAAAGAATAACTATGAAGATAAGGCCAGAAAGAACAGTGCCAAATTGTGAAGAGCTGTCTCTGCCACATTTAGAAGTTTGAATTTCATCCTACAAGTAAAGGTTTGTGACCAGTGAAGTGCCTCAGTTAGGTCTCTTTTAGAAAGCAACAGTAACAATAATACGAAAGATGGACTGAAGCAGAAATAATCAGAGACATAGATTAGCTTGACAGATATTTCACTGGTTCAAGCGAATGACGTCAGATATGCCTTGAATATTTATTCACGTCCATAAAAAATTCCAATAGCCATTGTTTATAAAATAAAATTCTTAATCCAAGCACAGTAGCACATGCCTGTAGTCCCAGCTACTTGGGAAGCTGAGGTGGGAGGATCACTTCAGCCCAGGAGTTTGAGACTAGTCTGGGTAACATAGTGAGATCCCATCTCAAAATAAAAAATAAATAAATAAAAATAAGATTCTAACTCTCAACACGGATTCAAAGCCTGTGACAATCTAAAGTACACATACCTTCCCAACGTCATTTCCTGTCCCTTCTTTTCCCATCTTACAACCCAGCCACATTACACTATGAACCATTTCTTCTTTTATATATATTCACACTGCCACATCTTTATGTTACTTATGCAGAATTTGTATGTTACTTATGCAGAGAAAACCTTAATGAACTCCTACTCATCCTTCAAGGACCACTTTTAAAAAGAGGATGTATCTACAAAATCTTCCCTGAGTCCACCTCTCCCAAGGCAAAACTTAATAATACCTTCCTCTAGGCTTTCACATCACATCATTCGTACTACTAATATAGTACTTATCACATTACATTTTTAGCTATCCATTTATCTATCTCTTCTGCTAGAATGTCTGAGATGAGACCAATCATTTACAAATGAAATTATACAAACAAGATTAAGAAATTAATCTCAAATATACATATATACACATTTTTCTTTACCTGGTAAAACTTGAATTTGAACCCAAGAATATGACACAGTGTTTGCGGTTCACACATACTCATGTAAGATTCTAACAAAGATATAAAGAAGTCATCGTGTTCTGGCCTGCATTCAAACACTTCTAAAATGACATCCAAAACTCTATTGGGATCCAGATTAAAGCATCCTGCAACAGATGAGACATACAAAAATTTTAAAAGGATTATACATCATTGCTAGTGAAACCATTAATTTTCAGGGATAATTCATATAGCAAGATAAAAATATTTTTAAAAACAACTTCCTTTACAAATTTGCTTCCCCTCTCCCAAAGGGAAATAAATCCACTACACATTTTTACAGATGAGAATGTGACTTTCCCAGAATCAAAGAATGGGTTAATGACCGATCTGGGTCGGTACAGTCCAGGACCTGTGACACCAGTCAAATAAATATTCCTCTATGGCACATTTGGCCTCATCAGTTCCTGATTAGTCGGGCTAGTGAAAACAGGTCCACATTATAAATTCTTAGAAAAACATGAAAATTAAACAATGCATTTTACAAATTAAGCAACTAAAGGGTTTTTTTAAATGCTTTAGGCAGAAGTATTTGGAATGTTGATAAACAGTTAAAAGTCCAGGTTCACAAAAGTGGATCATCATTTTTTATTTTATTTTACATATACTACAGAACTATAAAATATAATTATACCGCTGATTAATATCCATGGCTTTTAGTAGCATTCTAAAGGGAAAAGTGGTATGCTATTGATACTAATAAATTAAAGAATACCAAGGGAGTTGGAGGCTCCTGGTTTATGTCAGTTTCCACATGCCTTTCATCAAGCTGAATGGGATTCTAGTATTTTAAAATATGTATATTTCATTAAACACAGTCCCTAAATGCAAGCTAACCACTTCATTGGGCCAAAAACTAAACACTGATTTCTTCTAATACTGGAGGAAAAAAGAACTGTGATCAATTTAGGGACATATGTTAAATCTAAACACTTATACCTTATGGATGGGTTAGGGGATTTTTCCAAGAAAATTTTTATATAACCTATTCCTGTCCCAACCCTTTTGTAAGAAGATATCTCCAGGTACTTTTATTAACTCCACAGTTATTTATATTAAATGCTATAAAACTAATGTTTCTTTGTACCTTAGCAATCGCTTAGAAAACCAAATCCTCCAAATACAAGTTTTCCCTTTTTATGAGATCCAAACTTAAGAACACATTTTCTTCTGCTTCTCATACTAAGGAAAAGGAGGACTAAAGCAGTGATCATGTCTTAGTCAAAAAAAAAAGCTACATATTTTCATAAACTCTCCAAAAAGACATTTCCCTGAAGTTCTAGGAAGAAAATTTCTAAATATTTTTACCTCCCCCATACTTCCAAAAAGCATGGCCTACGAATATAAAAGTAATTCCAAGACAGACAGCAATTAAAATCCTTAAATGCTGCTGGTGGCAGCATTTAAAATGGTACAACCACTTTGCAAAATTGGCAGTTTCTTTAAAATTTAAACTTACACCTACCATATGACCCAGCCTAGGTATTTACCCAAGAGAAATAAATGTCTATGTCAATACAAAGATTTGTACACAATAAAGCAGGTTTATTTGTAATATATAACACTCCTCTCCTCAAATGTCCATCAACATATAAATGGATAAACAATTTGCAGTATAAGTGGAGTAAGGATAAGTACAGTGGACATACTCAGCAACAAAAAGGGAAGAACTATTGATACAGGCAACAGTATGAAAGAATCACAAAATATGCTGAATGAAATAAGCAAGACCAAAAAAAAAAAAAGTACACACTGTATGATTCCATCTATAGACATTCTAGAAAAAGGAAATTAATCTACAGTAACAAAAAGCAGATCAAGCTGGGCATGGCGGCTCACGCCTGTAATCCCAGCACCTAGAAAGGTCGAGGCAGGTAGATCACTTGAGTCCAGGTGTTTGAAACCAGCCTGAGCAATATGGCAAAACCCCATTACTACAAAAAAAATAGCCAGGCATGGTGACACATGCCTGTAGTCGCGGATACTCAGGAGGCTGAGGCGGGAGGACTACCTGAGCCCGGGAGGCAGAGGTTGCAGTGAGCCAAGAAGAGGAAAATTGAGGGGGAGTAGGAGAAATGTGCAGTATCTTGTTTGTGGTGTTTTCACAGATGTATACGTATGTTAAAACTCAAATTGTACAGCTTAAATATGTGCATTTTATTGTATGTCAATGAAGCCTGAACAAAGATGAAAAATGCCTTCACAATGCTGTGACACTGATGATAGATTATGGAAGATCTAGCAAATTCTCCAATCATGTAACTTCTCCTACATTAAATATAAAAAATTAAATCACTAAATAAAAATGAATTACCATTGTATCATAGAAGACAAAAGGGACACTGAATATAATTTTTGACAAACTGGCTGGCTTATAATTACCCATTAGGCTACATACACAAAACTCATAAATAAAGGATGGAATAGCAACATGTTAGATGAAAATCTTTTAAGTGTTTCACTCACATTGCTTTTAAGTTTACATTTTCAATATGTTGAAATGTGAACCACTAGCAATTATGTTTTATTTAACAGCATTACTCCATCAAGGCTATTCTATCAGTGATCTGTACTGTCAACTACCCATTTTCCTTCTAGGTGCAATTTAAGGCAGTAATCTGAAACAAGAGGTATGTACTTTTATATCTAAGAGGTACCACCTTTGCATCTTTCATTAAAGAAAACCTGGTTTATGAGTTTTCTATGACATATCTCAGGTGCCGTAAGTTGAATCAATTTTATCCATAAGACAGAAAAGGTAGCTGTAACCAACTGAAAGTTTAGATAATTATTTCCATTTACTTTTCTTTATTATTATTTTTAGAGACAGGGTCTCGCTCTGTTGCCCACACTGTAGTGTAGTGGTGCATTCATAGCTCAGTGCAACCTCACACTCCTGGGCTCAAGTGATCTTCCCGTCTTAGCCTCCCGATTGGCTAAGACAACAGATGCACACCAACACACCTAGCTAACATTTTGTAGAGATGGGGTCTCACTATGTTGCCCAGGCTGGTCTCAAACTCCTGATCTCAAGTGATCCTCCTGTCTTAGCTTCCCAGAGTGCTGGGATTGCAGGCATGAGCCACCATGCCCCCCTGAAAATTATTTTTAAAATCTTAGTGTTTTAATTAATAGTTAAGCTAGTTCATACACAGTGAGACTCTACTAATAATCAGTAAGTCTGAATATCCAAAATGTTTTCCTAATGGCAGCTATAGAAGAATATAAGCAGTCTTGTATGCAAACATCTTAGAAAGACTTTTGTCCAGCCCAAGCATTGATAGTCACATGATCTTTGGAGAGATCATAAACCTTGCTCCCTACCTCTACCACCAGTTACATTCATACACACACACATTTATATATATTTACACATACATACACACACACAAACACACACAACTTTATGCCTTTTGAGGAACAAACAAGAAACCATATTTAAAGAGAATGAGTGGAAAAAATAAAGAAACTGCAGATCTACAATGGCCATAGATCCCCTCCTTCATTTAAATAAGTATGAAATAATTACCCACCATGTGCCAGGTGCTTATGATTCTCTGGAAAAATAGAGAAGAGAGTAGAAAGGAGGGATAAACACAAAGAGGCAAGAGGAAATTTCAGGGGAAGTGGGAGGAATGTGCATTATCTTGTTTGTGGTGTTTTCACACAGGTATACGTATGTTAAAAATCAAATTGTACACTTTAAATACGTGCATTCTATTATACGTCAATGAAGTCTGAATAAAACTGAAAAATTACAGTCATTAATAAAATGATTATGCTACCCTTGAGGAGAGTTCACACCTTTTGAATGATACATCTTTGAAGAAATGCAATAAAAAGCAACTGGAATCTCCCCCAAAGATAGAAAAAAACGGCCAGTATGTTACAGCGACAGTGACTAGGGGCAAGAAATATGATCAAACTGACAATGACTCTTGTAGAAATTAGGCCAAACTGAGATGTTAACAGGAAAATAAAAGACCAAGATAATATTGCAGACCTAACTAGGAGAGATGTCCAGCCTATAAATTTCAGGCAAGAAAACAGAATTATAGCCTCAAACATCATGTTCCTGAGAGAATGGACCTTAGGAGACAAAGAAAAGCATGTTTTTAACAAAATGAAATTATCTAGCATGTAAAAAGAATTTCTTTAGAAGCAAGCTAATAAAAATCTATGTCAGACTATTTCTAAGAAACACTATTTGCAAAAAGCTGCACATCTCAAAGCAAGGACCAATGAATAACAAAATAAAAGTATGATGTAAAAAACAGTAACAAAGCCAGGTACGGTGGCTCACGCCTGTAATCCCAACAATTTCGGAGGCCAAGGCAGGTGGATGCTTGAGCTCAGGAGTTTGAGACCAGCCAGATCAAATGGCAAAACCCTGTCTCTACAAAAAAATACAAAAATTAGCTGGGCATGGTGGTATGTGCCTGTAGTACCAGCTATTTGGGAAGCTGAGTCCAGAAGGCAGATGTTGCAGTGAGCCAAGATTATACCACTGCAATCCAGCTTGCGCGACAGAGCCAGACCCTGTCTCAAAATAAAAATAAAAATAAAATAAATAACAACAAAAAAACCCTATAGTTGGAAACACCAATTGCTGTCTTCTTTTTCGTACTATGAAGGGAAAACTTCTAACATATAGCCAAGAAACTTCGATAATGTAAAAATTTAGATAAAGAAGGCAGCCAGCTTCCCGTTCAAAGGGATAGGAAAAGCTGGCACAATAAGAAGTGTCTAGGCTGAACGGACCCTATATTCAGATTGAACCAAAGATAAAATACTAAGTACACTCAAAATCATGTAGTCAAAGGGGTAAAATGTACCATAATCTATCCGAAAATAATCATTTGGCTTGAGGATTTATTTTGTTTTTAATGTTCCTCTGGTCACTTGAGAGACTGAAGAGGTAAAGACTCTCACTCTACCCTTCCCTAGGCAAATCTATACCCTTTAACACCAGGTAACAAATGAAGGTCTTGAGGTTTGATGAAGCAAGCTCTGGTTCTGCAAGAGAAGGTAAATGGGTTAGAGCCTAGGACTTAAAAGTCCTGGACCACTAAAACCGAAAATCAGGAAGAACTATTTCCACTCTCTAAAGCTAGGTTCAAATAACCTACCTCCATGATTAGTTTTTAGGCAGACCTTTTGAGTTAGACCAAGAATAGGCAAACTATGCCTTGTGTGTTAAATCCATTCAGCTGTCTGTTTTTGTAAGTAACATTTTATTGGCACATAGTCAGATTTACTTATGTACTATCAATAGCTGTTTTTACACTACAATGGCAAAATTGAGTAGTTAACAACAGAAACCATATGGTCCACAAAGCCAAAAAATATTTACTATCTCACCCTTTACAGAAAACACTTGCTGACCACTGATTTAGAAGAAAGGAAAGAACACTTAGCAATAATTTGTTTTTACTATACATATTTAAAGTGTACAGCATCATACTTTGATTTTTTTTGAAGGACATCCAAAGGAGTAGAGTTCTTACACTTTAGCTCAGCAAATAAAGGAGTCCACCTGTGACATTCTTTCCTCTAATTTCTTTTTTTTTTTTTTTTTTTTTGAGACGGAGTTTCGCTCTTGTTACCCACACTGGAGTGCAATGGCACGATCTCGGCTCACCGCAACCTCCGCTTCCTGGGTTCAGGCAATTCTCCTGCCTCAGCCTCCCGAGTAGCAGGGACTACAGGCACGCGCCACCATGCCCAGCTAATTTTTTGTATTTTTAGTAGAGACGGGGTTTCACCATGTTGACCAGGATGGTCTCGATCTCTTGACCTCGTGATCCACCCGCCTCGGCCTCCCAAAGTGCTGGGATTACAGGCTTGAGCCACCGCACCCGGCCCCCTTTCCTCTAATTTCTAAAAGTTTTTTTTTTTTTTTTTTTGCCATCTTCAAGCACTTGTTTGGTGTCTATGACTTGGCAGCTCAATAATCTACTATTCACTACTCATTCCTGTTTAATAAGTTGTTCACATTGTCAAATAACAATCACCATGCAGATGCATAATGGTTCTGCTTCCTTGCTTGCACGGGTAGTAAACAGCCCCAGGCTACCTGACAGGACATAAAAATGTTGATGTGCCAGAATCTTTTGGGAGCAAATAATGGCTTCTTCTTTTTTTTGGACAGTGTCTCACTCTGTCACCCAGGCTGGAGTGCAGTGGCGTGATCTCAGTTCACTACAACCTCCATTTCCTGGGTTCCAGTGATTCTCCTGCCCAAGCCTTCGGAGTAGCTGGGATTACAGGCACGTGCCACTGCGCCCAAATGATTTTTGTGGTTTCAGCAGAGACGGGGTTTCACCATGTTGGCCTGGCTGGTCTCGAACTACTGACCTCAGGTGATCTGCCCGCCTCAGCCACCCAAAGTGTTGAGATTGCAGGCTTGAGCCACTGCATCCAGCCAAAAAACTGCCTTTTAACTAAAGGATGATAAGTAAGGATTTATCCCGGTCAGACCAAGTACCCTGAATGTACATGCACCAAACTAGGTACCGTCCAAACTAGGTATCAGTTTCTAACACAGATTGGTGAAGGAGGTATTACCTGTCTAGACTGTTCCTAAACAGAAAACAATGGGAATAAATACAGAGAAACCCATCCAAAGAGGCCAAGAAAAACAGGACGCTGGTCAGTAAGCTGTTCTGGACAGATGAGACAAGGTCTGGATGAAGTCTGCACTAAGAGGGAATCCAATAAATGCTAAGAACACTGAAAGAATTGAATTGGAACTGAAGTTTCAACCTCTATTTTCACATCAATGAAAAAATTTTCATTCAGGCTGGGTGCAGGGGCTCATGCCTGTAATCCCAGCACTTTAGAAGGCTGAGGCAGGCAGATGACTTGAGGCCAGGGCTTCGAGACCAGCCCAGCCAACTTAGTGAAACCCCATCTCTACTAAAAATAGAAAAAAAAATTAGCTGGACATGGTGGCGCATGCCTGTGTTTAATTCCAGCTACTCAGGAGGCTGAGGCACGAGAATCATTTGAACTTGGGAGGCAGAGGTTGTGGAGAGCCAAGATCACGCCACTGCACTCCAGGCTGGGCGACGAAGCAAGACTCCGTCTCAAGAAAAAAAAAAGTTAATTTCTCAGACAATTGGGGAGGAGGAAATCATCTAGCCAGAGATAAATAAACATTGAGACAGAGAGATGAACTTTCTAAAATTCTCCATGTCAGGAAAAAAACGCTAAGAGTCAGTATAGACTATATAAGAATAAATATTCATTCCTTTTAACCCAGTATTTATTCATCACCCACATACCAAGTATTAAGGATGAGGTACTAAACAAAACCCCAGTCCTCACAGAGCTTAGATGCAGGGGGAGCGGGAGGAGGTATACAGTATATTATATGGTGATACATGCAAAACAAAGAAAAATAATCAGGGAATAGCAAGCAATTTTGACAGGGGTGGGCAGGGAAGTCTTCACTAAGGTGACATTTGAGTGCTACTTGGTGGGTTAGAAAATAGGTTTAGCTCAATAAATCAAATTGTTTATACTCATCGACTGTCCATACACCTCATGAACTTGCAGTTGTGTTTGTTACATTGTTCATCAGAAACAGGATCGCAGCCTGTTCTCCCAAGAGCAAAGTTCAAGAAAACTAAGTAGTGTACATTGTCTAGTAAGATAAAAGCACACCTTCAAGAAAATCCCTCTTTGAAATATTCCCCAAATAACAAAGGAATAAAAAGGTATAAACTCACAAGAAACAGAGGAAGAAACAGATGTCAACAAAAAAAGGATCTAAAGAAAAAAAAGAAAAGACTGAGGAGCTTACATTGCACAGAATTTTTATGTGGGGAATACTATCTTAAGTACATGATAGGGTACAAGGAAAAACAAACTTATAGCAAAGCAGTACTGACAAGCTTCTCAAGCTAGATCAAAAAACACTTCAGGAAAGTGTGGCGCCTACCCTAGAAAGAACAGAAAGGGGCAGGGCACAGTGGCTCATGCCTGCAATCCCAGCACTCTGGGAGGCCAAGGTGGACGGATCACCTGAGGTCAGGAGTTCAAAACCAACCTGGCCAACATGGTGAAATCCTGTCTCTACTAAAAATACAAAAATTAGCAGTGCGTGATGGCAGGCTCCTCTAGTCCCAGCTACTCAGGAGGATGAGGCAGGAGAACTGCTTGAACCCAGGAGGCAGAGGTTGCAGTGAGCTGAGATCGCACCACTGCACTCCAACCTGGTGACAAAGTGAGGCTCCATCAGAAAGAAAGAAAAGAAGGAAAAGAAAGAAAGCAAAGAAAGAAAAGAAAGAAAGCAAAGAAAGAAAGCAAAGAAAGAACGAATGAATGAACGAACAGAAAGGGACCCCCGCAGGAAGGTTTTTAAAAACGGGTTACTGCCACACAGGTAAGCAAGAGTCCCACAGCCCTAAGGGGCCACCCATCTTGATGTTAAATTGACAACTGGAAGAAACAGCAAAGAAACTAAGATCAGCTGCTGGAACTAGATATACTTCAAAGAAAAGGGTAAATTTAAACTAGAAGCTATTCTTTGGTCAGGCACAGTGGTTCACACCTTTAATCCCAGTACTTTAGGAGGCCGAGGTGGGAGAATCACTTGAGCTCATGAGTTCAAGACTAGCCTAGGCATAATGAGACACCATCTCTTAAAAAAAATTAAAATTAAAAAAATAAACTAAAAGGTACTTACTTGTTGGTAAGAACAAGGGTGATTATAGTAAATATACTTTTATTTGGATTCCTACACAAAGCACTAGAGGAAGGAAATAACGCCTTCTCCCTCTTTCTTAGTCATATATAAACTCTAAAAAACAGAAGAACCAAGAAGCTGAGGATAAGCACCCCTAAAATATAACAAGTGAGACACAAAATATGACTCCTCTGGCAGGTGGTGCAAAATCGTCCCTAAGACAGCACAACACCTAGCAAATAACAGAAAAGACTCTTTCCACCTTAGGAAAATCTAGATTACTGTATTTTTCTAGTACTCATTCATCTTTTCTATAGAAGTCAACTACTTCCTCCAAACACTCAATGCAAATAAAAAGAAAAAAGTAATGTTACACAAATTCTACTTAAAGGGTAGAGAGAATAAAACTTTCCTATCTGTTACACTTTTGCAATCGCTGTTGCACTGACTTTAAAAGGCTATTAGAAAGATAAAATAAACTATGTATCAAAGTCCCTTGTAAAGTTATTTTGAAAATCAAGTTCAAAATTACACATCTGTAGGTTTCAAAAGTTCACTGAAGATTTACTTTATTAAAGTTTTCATGTTTGCTTTTCAGTCCTCCATAAAAGGATAGAGAAATACTTAAAAATTAAAAATAGAAATACTAGAGAAACATAGGGCATTTTGTATCAGAACAGTCCATCCTGTTCTTTGTTATCCATTCTCTTTTGAAAGCATTGGTTTATCACTCAGGACCCCCTCCAAAAAAAAAAGAAAGATTAGACAGAGCAGGACCTAATATTAACACACAAGTAACAGTGACAAAAAGATTTCTCACAAATGTCATGCTAAATTTTATAATTACTGATAAAACATTAAAAGTAAAATCTAAACACCTCTCCCATTCCTTAACTGGAAAAAAAAAAGTATATGGAATGCACTCATTTTGTGTTTATGGATATTCTCCAACAGTTAAAACAACTTGTTATCTTAACAACACATACTATACAAATGTATATCTTACCTATTAAAGATTTGATATTTTCTAAGATTAAATCACTAGTAATGCTTCCAGATAAATCTTGCCCCAATTCAGCAATCAGCTTGGCATAACCTTCATTCTCTTCTCTTAACAAATTGAATTTCTGCTGCTTATAACTGAAATCAGATAAAATATCATTAAGGGGATAAAATTAATTTCAATTAACAAGCTTGCACAGAGTACTGTATTCTCATCAAATTTTCTTATCTCCAACCTACAAAAATCATAAGAATACTTTCTGTAAGTTTACCTTTTTGTGTACCTTCTAGAGTAAAAAATAACAGTGGTTCATATGAGAACCCCAATGTTAATCACGTGGGGAAAACCAGTAACATAAGAAAAGAATATTGTTAATCTTAGGGAATGATAACATATCACTATTTCCATCTCTGACTAAGACTATACCCCAAGTACAGCCAGTCATAAATTATTTTATTGCTAATGATGAAAGCATGAGTATTATTTTAACTTTGAATATGGACAAAAGTAGCATTGGTTTTACACAGGTAAAGGTCACTGATGACTCAAAAATATTAGGCTACTTTTAGAAGGCAAAAAACACAAGATATATGCTAATCACAAACAAAAAAAATAATCTTCAAAGAAGCTACTAACATTCAAAATATGAACAAAAAAACATACTCAGCTACTTGATCTGCAACATAAGATACATTTACTTACAAGAGTTTTGTCTTGATTTTAACTGACTTTTGATTGAATTGCTGTGATTGTTTGATAAGCCCTAATGATTCCAGTGTTTCTGGATCCAGGCGTTCCTTCAGGACTGTGTCTGAAACTAAATACTGGATTAAAAAACATTAAGGGTCATTTATTCCTTAGCATTGCATCCACAACCTTAAATATATTCAAACTAAAGCTTCCTAAATAAGAATACAAAAATCACATTCTCTATATAACAACCTACAATTTATAAAAAGGCTTGGAAGTTTAATTTAATAAACATTTTGACTCCAAATATTGAAATATTTAATAAACAGCTTTCCAAAAATTCACTACAAAATTATATCCATGCTGTATACTACCTATAAATGACAAAAACTATAGATGAAATTTTCAGTAGGATTACATTTGGCTTAACTGGATTTTCACCTAATACAGCACTTTATAGCCTCCTACTTTAATGCTAATATAGCAAAGACAAGCACTTTCTTCCAGGTCTCAGCCATGGCAGCTCTCCCTGGTTCTAAATTTATGAACACAAAATGGTTTACTAGACAACTAGAATTTACCATTTTTAAACTACCTCTGCTCTTTTTAACAGTTCATGAGGGGAAAAATCCATTTAAAAGCTGTCTACAATCATTTCTACTTACTTTATAAATGCTAACCTTTTTCTTAGGAACTTAACTAGGTCAAGAAAATCACCAGTTTTGAATGTATAGTTTAAGTTATATGGATATGGTTACATGCTAATTTCATAGAAACAGCATGTCTAATTTCACAAAACACTCCCTTTCAAAACCCAAATTTCACCTTATAATGAGAAAAGCCAAATGAATGTCAATATCCTCCACCATTAACATGATTAACTTCTATTATAACAGTTAAATGCAGATTTTTAAAAGAGAAAAATATTTTTTAAAACTTACCAAACATGCTAATACCAACTGTGTAAAATAGTCTCTCTTGCTTTTTTCTTCTAAACAATTTGTTTCAATATCTATAATGATAAAGAAGACAAAAGTTTGACGTTTCTAGACTCCCCTGCACTAAAGTAAGATATTTACTTTCCTTAAACCTAATTTTAAAATATCTCAATCTAAATTTGGAAAAATTCAAAACTATGGTAACACGAGATGTCCTTCATGTGCATATGAATGCTTTAATTTCTCCTAAAACTAGAGATTGACCCTGTGACCTATGATATAGCCAAAAACGGTCTATCAATTACACTGAAGCTACCTGTTATGGCACTGGAAGCAACAAAGATTCAAAAAAATATTGTTCGCAAAAAATGAAACATTCAAACAAAGTTTAAATGACCACTTGTCGGAGATGCTAAAAAAAAAAAAAAAAAAAAAAAAAAAAATTGTGGAAAAAAGAAAAAAAAAAAAAAAAAAAAAAAAAAGATTCTTTTAGGTGGAAAGTTAAACAGGGTTACAGCAAAGATTTCTTCTAACTCTAAAGATCCTAATATTCAAGATCAAACCCATGACTTTCGCCACCCTGGTCCAATTACTATGTTCTAACCAGGCTACCTGGCCACCAACCTCATGAAAAGACAGTATTTAAAAATATTTTTGGCCAAGTGCGGTGGCTCATGCCTGTAATCCCAGCACTTTGGGAAGCCGAGGCAGATGGATCACCTGAGGTCAAGGCTAGCCTGCACAAGATGGTGAAACCCCTTCTCTACTAAAAATTCTAAAATCAGCTGGGCATGGTGGTGCACATCTATAATTGCAGGTACTAGGGAGGCTGAGGCCGGAAAATCACATGAACTTGGGAGGCGGAGGTTGCAGTGAGCCAAGATCACACCACTGCACTACAGCCTGGGTGACAGAGTAAGACTCTGTCTCCAAAAAACAATTTAACATCTTATCTTGAAATATAATTCTAGTCAGTAAATAAAAATTATTCAAAATTGTATATTCCTACTGAAATATTTAAAAACTGAGACCGTGAGTTTCAGTAAATTACTCAGAAAATTTGTCAAAAAATTTTCTTAAGTATGGAAGAAAGAAAACAATTAGTGTCAAATGCCAAGCACCAAAAATTTCAACCAGTATTGGCAGGATTACAAACAAAGCTGATCTCAGGATTACTGCTTTAACTGACTACATACTATTAACCTAATTTTAAAGTCAAATCATAATTTAGAATGTGCTATAAAGAGAAGCACTGGTTTTAGTGAAATAATAAAAATTGTCCTCTACATGTTCTACTGCCAACACTGAGAATCCAAAGAGAAGGGGATTTTTCATCAAACATATCCACATTTTCCTGGCCCTTCACTTTCCCTTCTTGGACAGTTGCCATTTCCACATATCCTGGCCACTGTAGCTATATACACAGTCAGTTCAAGTTTATTAACGAAATTTTAGGGTGTAATTTATGCAACGTAAATTACAGTACAATCTCAATTTCTCATTAAGACTTTTAATTAATGTGTATCTCACCAATCCTTTTCAGGGATCCCCAATTGTTGCCTTGTTATCTGGTTTTCTGGTCCCTCCTCAGTCTAGAACTTTTAAGGATGCTGATTTTTAAGGGACTGGGGCTAAACTGGGTTCATCCTTTTACCCAACATCTATCTATACTCCAGGGCGCTAAAGTCCTTAAGATCTACCCCTCAAGGTCTCTAAGATCGGGGCACCGGATGGCAGATTCATCCTCTTCAAGTCAAGTCTCTCTCCACTCAGCCACCTAATCTGATTAAGACACTTATCCTCTGAGGGTTTGTGAATCTGGAATGAATTATTTTAGCTCATTAATCTTTTTTTTTATTTTTTTTTAATAGAGATGGGGTTTCACCATGTTGGCCAGGATGGTCTTGGTCTCCTGACCTCGTGATCCACCCACCTCGGCCTCCCAAAGTGCTGGGATTATGACGTGAGCCACCTTGCCCGGCCTACCTCATTAATCTTAATTCTTAGAATTAGATAAATTACTTAAATGTCTAACCATTCTCTAGGGTTCTGACCATGTTAAGAAATGCTTAATTAGGTCTCAGTAAATTTCTCAGATGAGCTATCTCAACAATCAGTACAGGATTCTATTATGCCAAATGTACTTTCCCTGATTTCTTTATTCTTTTGGCTCAAACTCGTAACACCATTCTAATAAACTCATTTATTCTCTCTGACTCCTCTACCTCAAATAAATTCTCTTTAAGTTTCCCTATGATTTTAATAAAAAGCCCTCAGCTATTTCCAGCTCTAGTTCCCAGTATCACCAATTACCTACCCCAGCCTAGAGGTCCCTCAGCATAGCAGCATATCAACTTACAACAGACTCACCCTTTCTATAGCTCCGAGGCCCCTCACCTTCATATGATTAGTCTGTTAAAGAAAGTTGCTATCTGCTGGGCTCGGCAGCTCATGCCTATAATCCCAGCACTTTGGGAGGCTAAGGCAGGCAGGTTACCTGAGGTCAGGAATGCCAGACTAGCCTGGCCAAAACGGCGAAACACCATCTCTATTAAACATAAAAAATTAGCTGGGCGGCCGGGCGCGGCGGCTCAAGCCTGTAATCCCAGCACTTTGGGAGGCCGAGGAGGGTGGATCACGAGGTCAAGAGATCAAGACCATCCTGGTCAACATGGTGAAACCCCGTCTCTACTAAAACTACAAAAAATTAGCTGGGCATGGTGGCGCGTGCCTGTAGTCCCAGCTACTCAGGAGGCTGAGGCAGGAGAATTGCCTGAACCCAGGAGGCGGAGGTTGCGGTGAGCCGAGATCGCGCCATTGCACTTCAGCCTGGGTAACAAGAGCGAAACTCCGTCTCAAAAAAAAAAAATTAGCTGGTCATGGTGGCACATGCCTGTAATCCCAGCTACTTGGGAGGCTGAGGCAGGAGAATCACTTGAACCTGGGAGGCAGAGGTTGCAGTGAACCGAGATTACATCATTTTACTCCAGCCTGGGCAAGCAGAGTGAAACTCCGTCTCAGAAAAAAAAAAAAAAAAAAAAGCTATCTTAACCTCCAAAGTGCAGCACTAATTTCTCTTATAACTGTTAACATTTAAAAAGACAACATGATGCAATAAAAATATCACAGGCTGTGGAGCCAAAGGGACCCAGGTTCAAATTCTGTCTTACTGGTCTGCATGGCCTTAAAAAATCACCGCTTCGCTGAACCTCACTTTTCTGATCTGAACACCTACCACCTTTACAGTTGTTGATGCAAGGATTAAAATAAAAACTAAATGCTTAACACAATGCCTAGAACACGGAAGGTACTCTAAAAGCAGAACTTACATTGTTATTATTATCATTATTATCGTCATCATCAGCTTCATTATTAGAGGCAGCTCATATTCTTATTCCTATTCCCCAGCCTTGATCTGGGGTCAAACTTGAATCACCTTTTCTCTGCCAAGGGTGAGGGTGGGTGAGTGAGGGGGCAGGTGAGGGAAATCCTCTTTCCAAGTTTGCTGTCATAATCTTGCTTGTAAAAATGGACTGGATAGGCTGGGCGCAGTGGCTCACACCTGTAATCCCAGCACTTTAGGAGGCCAAGGTGGGCAGATCACTTGAGGTCTGGAGTTCCAGACCAGCCTGGCCAACATGGTGAAACCCCATCTCTACTAAAAACACAAAAAATTAGCCAGGCATGGTGGTACATGCCTGTAATCCCAGCTACTTGGGAGGCTGAGACAGGAGAATCACCTGAACCCGGGAAGCAGAGGTTGCAGTGAGCCAAGATTGCACCACTGCACTCAGCCTGGGCAACAGAGCAAGGACTCCATCTCAAAAAAAAAAAAAAAAATAGGTAAGAAAAATGTCCCAAGAGCAACCAAGCATCATCTTCATGAATCAGGTTACTAGTAAAAGGCAATGAATTAACAATAATTCATATTGCTAAATAACTATGAAGGGAAAATACAACCTAATAAGTCAATAAAGAAATTACTAGCACCAATAAGCTGATAATTAATGATTACCCAAAGAAAGATATACTCCTGACACTAACAAGGAACAACAGCTTCCACAAAATGTTACCTACAAATCAGTCTTCCAGCCTTATAAATTTATAGTAAAAAATTTTTTTAATTGAAATTTGTTTCATGTTATATTTATTTG